CGATTTTCGTCTCGTTCGTCTCTCCGGCATGTCCGGCCCTCCGCGAATGCTTTGCGAACGCTTTGCGAACACAACGCAACGACCTCGCGTCGCCTCCTGGACCCCTGGACCCCAACTTTAAAACGGGAACCCTTCTGCTACGCATTCGGGAAAAACTCTGAAAGAAATCCTGATAATGGCAAAAGAGGCGCCGAACTTGCAGATATCGGTCTGTGTAGTTTTTGCTTTCGGAAGGATGATGACAAAACGCTGACGGGCCAACAGATACCAGCAGACTACGGACAACAGCGTTTCAAAAATGGTGTTGCAATGAAAATGACTAAGGTCAAAAGCGACGGACACTTGATCACACAGCATGCATGTCCTGCATGGAGCACAGCCAAAATTAGCGATGAGAATGTAGGCTGAGGATGCGGCTGAAAGGAAAAGCGGAGGTGTCGTCAAGAATCGAGAAAACGTCATACCCTGATGGAGGTTCGCCAAAGCAGGTCTACTAGAAGCAAAGCGCAAGTCACTAAAAGCCAGATTCTGATTCACTGTACTTGCTCTCCCAGACAACTGTTTGTGCTTCCTTGCAAGCGAAAGCCCTGCCTCGTGCCTTTCCTGCTTGACGGGCTGCTGCACCAGCAAGTTGCCGCTTTGCAGCCCAAGCTGCAGCAGGCAGAAAGTCAAAAAGCTGATGCTTTGGTCTGAAACATGCATTTTCCACCCGCAGTAACGAGCCATGTGGTGCGGTGCAGGCATTTGCCTAGATATTACGTATGTTTGATCGCTTTTCAACCTGCACCTGAAACACGCTTTGGCCTTGGACCTCCAAAATCAAGCCGCTTGCCTGGCCTGAACACCCTGCTCTATGGAAGGGTTCAGATCAAAGATGTCGTCCGACTCGTCAAAAGTGCTGCCCCCACCGATCTGCTTCCAGGATTGGTGCGCCGGCTGCATATCAAGCCTTTCTTCCAGAAATTAAAGCACCGCTAACTCAAGGCTTTAGTAGAAACAAGGCCCGCACTGACGCTGAACCCACTCTCGCACCTGCCCAGGATGACACCACACGCGCGCCAAGGACAGCCGAAGGCCGAAGGGACGGCCTGCTCGTCCAGGCACGATGCAGATGGCGTCATGCAAGAGCTCAGTGCCTGTTCGGCTTGCATGGCACCAAGGAAGAAAGAAAAGGTCCATAAGAAGCCGGAGATACTGAACCAGGAGCTGCGGGAGCCGGAGTTATGGAACCAGGAGCTGCAGGAATTGATGATCTCAATTTAGGTGCTCTGCGTCCAAAGCTCCTTGCCAATTTGCAGATGGTCTCGGAATAGTTCACGATTTGACCGACAAACATGCCAGCATTGCAATAAATACATTGGCATGACAGCGCAGTGCCTCCGGCGGGAACTGTATAGCAGACTCAGCATAAATGAGGGGAACAACCTGCAATTCCTCTACTTGAGGTGCAAGTGGAGGCCTGCAGCCAAGATGTTCCACGTCTCCCAGGGCATCGTTTTCGACACCTCAGGTGTCTGGCACAAGCTTTTCCCACACCTTGCAAGGAACATTTCAACGGCAATCAATAAGTTGGTTCGTGCTCGGCCCACCATTTCGTGGCAGTGAAGCAATGCAGCATCCACGCGGAAAAAAAGAACATCTGTAGCCGAATGTATGTACTGAGTTACAATGGTTTGAGCATGTTGAGCCGGCTTGAAGACCCTGCACTTTCTGAGCAGAATCTTTGATTCGATCTGAATCTGAACAGGACCCCAGCTTGCAAACGTTCTGCCGGTGAGGTCTCAACATGTCTGGATCATAGACCTAGTCAAAGCCTGCATTCGCCACTTGCAAGTGGAATCATGAAGGAGCACCTTCACACCAATCTGGCACATACTCCACAAGAGTCGCGGACCTGCACGTATCAAAAGTGGAATCTGCTGCAGTTACCGCAACTCGCAGAAGATTCTGCAGTTTTCGCCTTTCGAGATCTTCTGCGATCAAACCAGCTCCCAGGTTACCTTCAAGAATTCGACATTCGCTTACCCCAATAAGTTCTTGAAACTTCAATGGCCTACCAATGTGTGTTCGAATCCACCAACTGCTCCATTCTCCACCTCAGCCAGCAGCTCCCTGAGAATTACATCTCGCAGAAACAGCATTCCATGATGGCTTGCGAGACCCAGCCACGCTTCCTAAACCATGACAACTCTGCTCGAATTTGCACGGCAATGATACACCTCTGCCCTTCCCATGACATGATGCACAACACAAGACGCATGCAAGACAGCACCGCCACTTTTCACGTGCAAAACAATGTCTCTGTGATTCTTGAACAGCTTGTGCTGCGATGAGGTCCATCTATGATTTCATGCCACAGAACGGATCATGCACCCGCTTGGTGTTTGCTCCACTTTTTGTTTGCTACCATTGATTTTCCATCCTCGTGCATTCCGACTTTGCTGTGTTCATATACACTCCTTCTCTATACTACTGTTCAATGCTGGTCACTCCACCTGATAGGCTTATCATTATCATGAAACCTTCGCAGGGGTAAAGGAAGGTCGACTCCAATCAAGAGGCCAACTTGTTAGACGAGAGTGTGCTTGGAGTCATCGTAGGGACCTCCGAGCTAGCCAAGAGTCTCAAGTAAATGTTTTATAAACCTCGAAGCCTGCTACCCTGGGAGTAGGACTATGCATCAATGCAAAGCTTGGAGCATCTTCACGATGCTGAGTTGCTTCCTGCATTGCTGGTGCAATCATTTCAGCAGGAAATCCAGTTTAGCTGTAAAAGCCTCATCTGTTGGTGTCTGCGTTGGGGCCTTACCTTCTTCGCTCTAGGACAATTCCGCGGCAAATGTTGCAGATTTTCTGGGGCATCTCTCCTCAGCTGGTGAACCCGCCATTTCAGGGTTCCCGCAAGTTTTGTTTATATTGAGTAGAGGGGCGGAAGCTCTCAAGCCTCCACGCTCGTTGTCCGAGGAAGTCCGGGTATCGGACGTGTGGCAGTGAGAAGCTTAAAATTACAGGTGTTGTAAATTGCAGACCACATTCTTCCCTAGTCTACCCCCAAGAATTGGCAGAAGCTTCCGCACGGCGAGACGGCATGGGCGACTCAACCTGAACAGCACGCTTGATAGAAATAGTATTGCTGCATGCGATCTTGTCCGTGCAAATCACCCACAGAACAATGTCAATGCTCTCCCTGTCACAAGTTTTGCAGGCGCCCCATACAAATTCTTCATAAAAAGAACCAATGAACGGCTCCTCAAGCTATGAGGCGAGCTCGGTACCTTCGCCAAGACTGCCCTCTGAGGCCTGGGGAACCATACAGGAGAGGGTTGGTTGCATGCGTCCAAGGTCATGATGGCAACAACAGCTTCTGTTACCGAAGCGATCCAGCGTCAAGACTTCTCCTTGATCTCCCGCGACCTGGAATACCGCTTAATTAAGTCTGAAAATTTCTCGCCGGGGACGATTGTGCTACAGCTCTCAGGGGGCTGATACCACCATTCCCTCCCTCTCCCCTTTCCCCCACATCCCTCCCTCTATCCCCGTCTACCCTCCCCGCCCTGTCTCCTTTGTCAGCCCTCCCTTTCTTCAATGAGCAGACGCAGCAACACTCCAGCTACTATGTTATGTAGGCCAAAGGGCGCACGAGGCCCAAATGCGGTTTATGTAGGGGCATGTAGGGGCACTGCGAGTTCCTCATGTTGACGGATGGCGAGCCAAGCCATATCTAGCTACAGCTGCTGTTCTTGACTTCGAAGAAGTACACTGTTCACCTCATGGGTGTAGAAGACTTCCAATGAACTTTGTACTGAAGCAGGTTCACACATGTAGGGGAAATACAATAGGCAAGGGGGGGTGAAATAAAATCAGACCTGTTGCTTTGCTATCAGTCCATGTACTGTTCAAGAAACACATCTGCATGCCATGTTGCTCTTGCCGCTCGCAAGATTCAAGGGAGTTAGTACTCGAGTGCGCGTATAGAATGGAAAGGGACAGAAACGCCCGCTCGCCTGTCTACTGTACACTGTAATGCGGTAGTTCACACTCGGGCCAATTTCAACGTGCTAGCGGAGCTCTTCTCCAGGGAGGCTCTGACCACTCAGAGGTACCTAGAGTGCCCCGGAAGGCTTTGACCACTCGGAGGTACCCTGAGCACCCTGCGCTAAGGGGGCTCGAAAGGAGAGAGCTCCCGCCTTTCAAGCCATGGCTGATGATCTTTACACAGACATGCGTGATGAAGACCTCTATGAGGAGGCACATGCCACCCAAGCAATGTCGACATACGACATAATTCGAATGAGTCAATTTTCTCATGTGACGACAAAACTACCACCTTCATTTGACGGAAAAACATCATGGTTTGCATATGAAGATGCAATTGATGACTGGTGCGAAATAACTGAACTGGACGATGAGAAAAGAGGGCCAGCGTTACGGAATAGACGCCATCTACAGGAAGATGCTGGACAGGGATAATCTGAAGAGCAAAGAGGACGGCGTAACTTACTTCAAGAGAACGCTGCGACCATCCTTTGTGAAAGGCAGTGTGAATGTCTTCCTATACCGTTTTCAGCAGTTTATGAACTTGCGCCGCGATTCATCTGATCTTATGAAATGGATGTCAAGACTGCAAATTCAGATGAAGCGTTTGCATTGACACCCATCAGTGATCCACCGCATGATGAAGTTCGACAATATGCACAATCTGTATTTGGGGAAGAACGGCAAGCGATGTCCGCAATCCAAGTCATGACCGCTGTCAATGAGAGACGACGACAAGCGCATATGCAGAAGGTGCCGCTGACGAAGAACTTGATAGGACTTCTCTTTGTTTCGCACGCAGAGTTGTCTGTTGATGAGAGGATGTCACTCACCAGCATCATAGATCTGGTTGGGTTGGACGCCGGTACTCTCTGAGATATTTTCATCGAGATGTTTTGCAATCCCAGAACCGCAGTGGACAATCCACTCCTCAATAATGCCGGCCACCGTGGAAGAAGGAGCTTCATCGTGATAGATGAAGGTGAACTGGCCAAAGATGAGGATGATGGCGCAGAAGGCTTTGTGGATGCACACGAGGACATCTTTTACATTTACGACGAACAGAATGAATCGTGGTTCCAGCGTCGCTTCCCAGGCCGCCGATCTAGGAAAGGCAAAGGGAAGGGACTTCAAATCTCGCTGAAAGAAGAAGGGCCACTACCAGGAGGACCACGGTCAGTTTGAGGACTGGTCCTGGCAAACGGAAGAACCCTGGCGGTGGCAAGATGGCTGGGCAAACCAGCCAGATGCAGCAGATTCAAGGCAGTCGTGGGATCAGGAATCAGCACATGAGCACGCAGAAAGTTACAGGTCCAAAGGTAAAGGCAAGAAACGTAAGAAAGGTAAGAAAGGTAAGAAGGGTAAGGATGGTAAAGACAAGAAAGGCAGTTCCAATGTATCTTCGTCGCAATCTGAGGCTCAAACTGCAGTAGAAACCCCTTCCTTGCCTGCGTCTTTCTTTGCTATGCGTCATGTAGGAAGCCCGACCAACGTCGGGGAACCTGAAATGACAGGCGCAACCTTTGGAGGACCGGTCCACACTGCTGTACCAGATGATGGGCCCGACGCTGACGCTGATCATCCTGAAATTCCTTTTGATGATGAGCCTGAAGATGCTGAGCAGCGTGACGCTGATGATGATGATGATGATGGCAGCTTCTCCCCAGGAGGCTCACTCCACGGTGAGGTACCTGACCTCAACAGTGAGTGGGCCTGGTTCCCAGTGAGGAGAAGCGGGTCCACGCATCAAGAAATAGATCCTGACTCTGTGATTGACAGGGATTATGATCTCTATATAGAAGATTTAGATAACCATGACTCAGAGTATGGGTCCTGCTTCACTAATAGAACCCAAAGGACTACTTGTTTCCTTAGTGAGGAATCAATGTCTGAACCGAGGATTCTGGT